CCCAGCAATCTACCTCTTCCTCCCATGAGGAGTATCATCCATTCAGGCATGCTTTCCTCACTGAGCACTTTTTGAAACGTAAGAGTGTCAGCCTCTAATCTAAGTTACTTCTAAATAACTCTAGCAGTGTGGCCTCCTTTAGCCTCCAGTGCTGCCCTCAAGGAGTAAGAATCAGCCTGGCCATCCTCGGCAGGGGGTGGGCTTCACCTAGATGTTCTCCCTCAGACAGCGACATCTAGTGGCCAGAAGACATGGCTCTCCACTGTGCTGTCAGCTTCCCACCCTGAGAGATGGGCTGGTGTTAGCTTTTTTTTTTTCTTTCTTTCTTTTTCTTTTTTTCCGTTTTTCAGTGTTAGCGCTTAAAGTCAGGGTGAACACACGTTCAGGTCTGCCTGGGACACACTGGGTCCACACCTATTGTCTAGGCATAATTATTAATAGTGCCTGTTTTCACTCTTGGAAGCGTTAACAGATTGGATAATGAATTACACAGCCTATTTAATGCCTTATTGTAGCTCTCCCATCTATTAGGTGACTTAACACATCACTTTGAGGTAATAAACTCAGGAAGATTACTCCCCATTGTGTAAAGTAATATTTATCTTTATCTAGACTGAAATTATCCTTCAAGCGTTATGGGATTTTTTTCCAGCTCTAACGCTGAGGAGGGGTGAACAAGCTCATTTGATAGATTTTAGTCTTACCCACACCAGGCCTTTGTCTATCCAGATGGAAGCCCCTAATTTTTCTCTATTCCCAGAGACCTGCTCCCTCTGATCATTAGTTTTCCTTGTTAATCAGCCTGCAGTATAGTGTTTGGACGCGACTTGTCTGGCTGTCTGAGAAGTGACACACAATGGCTAGTCCTTTTAGGCACTGATGTAAGGCCATCTGGTAGGTGTGGGATTTCCCAGCTGTATTATAATTATTTTGAATTAAACATTTTTGACTACATAGAGAATAAAGGGCAGAGACACTGCCTAGGCGGCCAGTAGCGATCCTTCTGTTTATGCTTGCAGAAAAATAAAAGACAGCAAAAAAGAAAAAGGGAAGAAAGGAATCAAAAAAGAAAGATCAGTGTATATAATTAAGAAGCAGAGTTATAAATTCAGAAACACTAATTGCAAGTAAAAAAAGAACTTCATTTTGTTGCTTTTTTATCCCAGGGCCAACGTGAAGGGGTAAACATTTTAAGGGTTTATTAGAAAAAATTCCCCAGAAGGGTACATTTAAGTGGACCAGTGATTTATTCCTTTCCAAGAACAGGAATTTTGTAGAAAAAAAGTACTTAAGTAGTAGAAGAAAAAAAGGGAACATTTTGTAATAGAAATCTTACGCTTGTATTTTCTATTTTGAGTTTAGAAGTTAGACTCCATTAAAAAAAAAAAAAAAGGTGTACAAGTGCCTTCCCTTGCAAGATGTTTTGCTAGGCCATAAAATGGATCCTGTCATTTCAACATTACAGTTTGTTTTCCGATGGAACATAATAAATTACAGCTCTCTTGCTAATCTTACTTGGTTCTCTTTTTTCTTCATGCTAGTAGTCACAAAAATCAATCAAGTGTTGCCTTATCTTACCTTTGCAAGAACTTCCAAGCATTTAGGAAACTGAGTTCTTTCCCATAGGAAACTTAGAATTCACGCGGGGGAGACTGAGTAAACATGCCGCACGCATTTATCGCATATACTCTCTGGACTCCAAGCATTTAAGAACTGCTGGACCCTTGGACAGAGCCTGGGTTGAAGTTCAAATATATTTCATCTTTGATGAAAGAACCTCCTCAATAAAGTGAACAGCACATTATCTTTATTATTTTTTCATCTTTGTGTTTTTTCAAGGAAAAGGCTTTTTCTTGAGCTGAGTCACATTTGGAGGCAAATTCTTAGTGTTAAGTACATAGGGTTGTATTTATAAAGGTAGAGCATACTGGACCTCAGCTGACGGGTACACTAAAGGATCGGTGTGATGCTATTCCTATTCTCCTGGGAAAACAAAAGGGTGTTTTCTTTTCAAAATATTTTAAATATGTAACTCAGGTCTTTGCAGCTCGCTTAATTTTCAAGGTCCGATTATGAACGCACATGACAGGAACACGTGAATTTATATACATTGTCTCAAAGTACTGAAGGGGTTGCTAGTGGCTGTGGTCAGAGGGGTAAGGGCAATGACAAGATACTGTGCGGGTCCAGAGCAGAGACACAAAACAGCCCTTCTTAATAAACGCTGTGTTCTGGAAGAGCGCTCGTCTTTTAAGCCTGGCATTGGGCCAAGGTCAGGATACACAGAACTTTCTCCTTTATAAGACACTTGTTTCTTGGGGGAACATTCATGTCATTCTACATATGTTTTAAACACAGGCTTGGAGGCCGTAGCCCCAGAGCCTTCTTAAGGGCTCAGTTAAAAGAATTAATTTTGCAAATTACAAAGGTGCTCAGTTTGGCTTTTCGAAACTACAGCTCTGAGGCCAACTGTGCCTGTCCTAATTTGGAAATATTTTCTTTCTGGTTTTTATTTTGACATGGATCCTGCTATCTACTTTCATGGCTATTTCCAGCATCCCTTGGGAGCTCCTTCCCTGGTCGTCATAGTGCAAACACTCAAGAAAACCAAGAACTCAGTGCTTTCATAAAGCATTTATTTTTATTTGAAAACATTATACAGGCATTACATTGCCACAGCCAGTCCATAGGGGAGCATGCAAATATCAAAAATGGAAAGTTTGTTCAACTTATCGGTGTAAATCTCCTTTTTGGTTCAGATTTTCCACTTGCGGTGTCTGGATTAGTGTGCTTTGTTATGTGGCTTGACAATAGAATCCTACCCATGGGGTAAAAATCTGTCCTGGTAGCTAGCTGGGGACTACTAAGTGGTTATAACTCAAAAACAAACCCAAAACAAACAATACTACACGCTCGTCAAAAGGTTAATAGCACAAGTTAGCAATATCTAAACTAAACATTGAAACATTTTCATGGGACACAGTGGTGCAAATTTTTCCATTGCTTGGTCTACCTGGTTGTGTACTACAGAGTCTGGAGCCGTGGGAAGGTGTGACCAAGGCAAGGGTTGTCCCCAGTGGCGCAGGTTTTCAGGGAGGAAGTGAGAACCAGCACTGATCCCTAGCGGGGTGAGGGGCGCTGTGGTTTGCTTATCCAATCCAGTTCTATACAAGTTGCTAAAGTCTCACTTGTGGAGGAGAGGGTGGTGGCGGGGTCGGGGTGGGGGGGGTGCGGCGAAAAGCTGAACTTTCTGCTGGTGTCTACTGAGGCTGTGAGATTTCAGAAATGAGAACGGCTAGAGTTAATGTTGCCCTACTCCCAGTTCCCACCCGCTCCCGAAGGATCAATGCTTTTGCACAGAGAAGAGATTGTTCTTTGTTATTTTCTTTTCTGTCCGAAGGGTCAATCTGGGACTCCTGATCTCAGATGGTGCAATATGTTATCAGCTTTTTTAACTGGAGACGAACCAACACAGTGAAGGACTCCAGTGACGTGAAGGTCTTGTGCACAAGGACACTGGATGGTAAAGGGCATACAGTGAGTTCACCTTAACATTCACACTCGGTTTCCATACAATGGAGTCAATTAAAATATCCTAGAAAATAATCCAGATGGCCAGTTCTAGCCATCTGTTGATCGCAAACCTTTTTGAAATTTTAATTTTAAAAAACTTCCCAGTCCACTGAGTTGACTTGGAATAGCTTCATCTACTTGTTTCTCATAAGACTTTACTAAGTGTCTACAAATTAGTGTCATAAGAATGAATAAAAAAGACTAAAACATTTGGCTTTAAAATAAATACTAAAAATGCAATAAATCAAGCAAATTATGCCAACCGAAGGAATGTAAACACAAAAATAAAACCACAGTCTTTAAAGGTCTTCAGATCTGAATGGACAAAATATTCAGAGAAAGGTATTTAATTGGCTTAAAAGGTAGCAGAGAGCAGACACTGGCAAGTTGTTATGACATTGTTGTTTTTTTTTCCTCCAAAAATAAAGTGTATTTCTGAGGGGGCTGAACAGAGATGACCATCAACTCTGCATATGTGAGGAGATAATTTTTCTTCCCTATCTCCAGGGGCAGGACTGCACCGCCTGGGTAGAAGGCAGGCAGAGGGGCCCCCTGCTGCTGACCAGCCATCAGGGGACCTGTTTGCCTGCCCAGGATTTAGGCCTTGGGCAGGCTCTATGGGAATCCTGATGGGGCTGCAATCTGTCCTACTTTACGAGGACCCCTCTGGTGTTTTGCTTTGTTTGCTTAAGATGTATTGATCTGAACTTCCCACAGTTTCATAAGCATTTATTTTTCCTTTACAATCCCTGTATTCCATTGTGGATTTTTTGCATGGTATTGAAACCAGCCAAACTTAAAGACTATTTCACATACTGACACATAAAATTTATTCCAAATCGTAGAGGTCTGTGGTGCTTCTTGATTGTGTGTGTGTGTGTGTGTGTGTGTGTTTGAAAAAAAATAGTTACTTTAAGGGCAACACACTAGTAAGATATCCCTCAAAGCCTTATCAGGATCCTGTGATGTTCTCTGTATCCCTAAGAATATGGCGTTGATATATTCTGTGGTTGAAGGGATGCCGAATACGACCAGGAGGCCATGCTTTTCATCCACACCATCTTTATCACTACCAGTGGTCAGATCAATCCAGCCATTGTCACAGACTGCTCCACATCAGCACCTTGACTTTGTTGGGAGGCCATGCAACCGATGAAACCCCACAATGAGGGTGATGTCCATGCTGGTGGAGCTTAAAAAGGGTGTCACACAATTTAAGAGAGCAGGGGCCATGGCTTCTTCCAATGACTTGAATAATTTCCATAGTGTCACTAAAGAAGTCTAGGAATTAAAGGTAAAATCAAATACATTTTTGGAAGAGAGGGTATAGGGAGGGGCAGAAAGATTTTATATATATATATATGTATATATATATAACTCTAAACACACATGATATTATTATTTCTGGGGTTTTCTATGAGCCTCAGAAATGGAGCATTCCTTATCCTATTATTACAGGGACTTCGTTAGCAGAATTATGTGGTACAACAAAAAGGCAATGGCCCAGAGTAATCAGAGATGGAAATATAAAAAGGCTCAAGTGTTTTATATCTATTCCTAGAATAGAGAATTATATGGTCAGTTGCCCCTCCCCACAAGGGTCCCAGCACAAAATTCTTATCGAGCAGGCAATCCAACAGGTAACAGAGGAAACCATCAGCCACCGGGTCCCTAGGCTAAGGAAACTTCTCAGGGGTGGAGCTCCTGTGGCACGCAGCGCTCATATAGACTGTGCAAAAAAATAAAGTATGATTCTTAAAAAGTGACTTGCCATAGAAAAGGGGTACTTCTGTTAACTACACGTGGGTCTGGCGATAGTTCTTGTCAGGAGTACAAAACAACCTCCTGAAAGTTAGTGTAATAACAGTAATAATAATAATACAAATAATAACAATACTTGCTTTTAATTCAAAAGTTTTCACAGTAATTAATGCAGAAGGGTCGCGATCAGGATACACACTAGCTAGGCGTCTTGCTAAGTCAGGTGGGTTGGAGCCCGTGTCTCCAGGGATGGTTAGCTTGTGCCTCTCACAGGCTTTCAGATTTGCTACCTTGCAGTCCACCTGCGTACACACACCTAATAAATACCTTTCTCTATGTACAATACAGAGATGAAGGGCAAACAACGTGGCCACGGAGGTGACTTCAGTGGGCAGGGGGGAGGCCTTGTCCTAGGCCACACGCACGTGGGGCTCCTCTTCGGTCTCCTGGCCCAGGCTGGTGTAGGTGACCGAGGGCTCCACCTGAGCTGTGGCCGGTAAGTCCACGACGGGGCCCGAAGGATTGCGGAACTGCTTGTACACTCGGGGGTCCTGGGCTATGTATGTGGAGGTGGAGGAGTAGAGCACCAGCCCGATGAGGATGGTGAAGAAAGACAGGAGATAAAGCCCTGAAAACTGAAGAACACGACAGCAAAGTCACTCAGCCATAAGAGCAGAGCTGCCCCCACGAGAACGAGGCCCCGAGGGACCCGGGAAGAGCATTTCCCCAGCCGAGCAGGTGCCTTGACGAGCAGGCCAAGGCTCCTGATGGGACGTGTAATGTTATCTTCCTAAATTGCCTTGCTCCTATTGATTCTCCTTATCTTTTTTCTTGGCTCTGCAGCGAACACAGAAGAACACTTAGCTAATTTTCCCTAAAGTGCCAGTCTGAGTCCCTGATGTGGGAGAACTAGTTAAGCACAAATTAAAATACGTCGAGTTGAAAGCAAACAAAACAAAACAAAAAATCTCTGATATCCCTCAACAAGGGTTGTTTGTGGCTTCATTAAACCCGGAACAAATAGAGATGTTCCATTTAAGGTTGTAATGAAGCCATAAACACCAAATCCCTCCCTGACACAGCTGCTCTGGGCACTCTTGTTGGGCCTTCATCCAGTTCAGACGCTATTTGTGTTCCTCATAGGAACTGCTACTGACTTTTGTAACTATCTTTTGCAAGAAGAGATTATCCTTAGATCGAGAAAAAGTAGTAAGCATTCCATTCTTGCTCCACTAATCTGGAAACAGTCAGAGCTGTATACGTAGCATCCTGCTTCCTAAAGTATTTGCTTGACAATTTATTGAGATTTGTTGGGGAGGGGAGAAAATATTGGTTTATACAAGGGCTTGTGAATTTATGTATGTTTTCAAAAAAACTACAACATCTGGACCTTTTTTTTTTTTTAGAACTTTTATTTATTTATTTGACAGAGAGAGAGCACGAAAAGGCAGCGTAACAGGTAGAGGGACAGGGAGAAGCAGCCTCCCTGATGAGCAAGGAGCCAGACGTGGGCCCTGATCCCAGGACTCTGGGAACAAGACATGACCAAAGGCAATCACTCAACCAACTGAGCCACCCAGGTGCCCCGCTTCTGGGCCTTCTTGAGTAGTTACACTGGAAGCTGTTCCTTGAGTATCTACTGAGGTGGAGGGGAGTAAGGTTACAACACAAGTGTTGTCATTTCTATTTCACTCATTCGTTCATTCATTCATTTGTTCACTCATTCAGCAAATAGTTTCTTTTATGCCCTTCTATAGCAAAAATGGAACTAAATACTGGGGAAAGATAAATGAGAACCTATGGTCAAGGGCTTAAACATCCGGATGGAGAGACAGAGGTACAGGTAGACAAAACACAATGCGCTTGTGAATGCCAAATCCCATTTTAGTCAAGAGCTGTTGTTCCAGTCTTGACCACGTGCTGCACCCATGGGCAAACAGAAGACCAGTTTGATTGGATTTTCCTATTCATTTTTCATGCTCATACTCTAACAGAACTAAAAACTGCTGAAAAGACAAAAATTAACTGGAAGCTGGAAGAACAACAGGAAGAGGATGCAGAGAGTCTATAAAGTACATTGCAAGGCTATAATAGTTCAAAGACAGCTACAGCAGAAAAGACATCCCTGAGGTGAAGAGTCCATTACAGTGGTGTTTTTTTTTCTTTTTCTTTCTTCTTTTCCTCTTCCCTGCTATTGCTCCTCCTCCCCTTCTCCCCCTTCTCCACCCTTTCCTCCTCCTCCTTTCTCCCTCCTTCTTTCAATCCCCCTCCGTCTCTCTCTCTTTAACAGCAGCAAGGTAGCTAAAACTAAAGACAACTTTCTGATTTTCTTTCTAGATCATTCCTCACCCTGTCTTTCAATTCCTTTACTCCTCGTATTCAAACGATGTGATAGTCCTTCCTCAGGTGGATTTATAGACTAGATTCAGCTTGTAACAACTTCACTTTGAATAACTTGAAACAACTGATTCAGTTTTTCCCAACGAAAAGAAGTGTGCTTTATTCTTTGATCCATGAATTTGTTGGCAAGGTGAAATGGGAGGAAAAGAAGACCATCAGATCTATTGCAGGTGATCTCAGAAAACCAATTTACCCCTACACCTGCTTCCTGAAATTCTACATTCAAGAGCAGCAGTCTTTACCTGAAACTCTGGTGAATGAAAGGGGTTTGTTCCCAACACTATAATAATTTCAAATATTTTGTTAATGATTTTCATTTCCAAACTCCACGGACATGTGTCTAGTCTCAAGTGAAGAGCCATGCTGCTTGCAAGTGTGAGCTGGCCTCTACGTCAGCAGCCGAAGGTGGGGAGATTCCAAACTGCCTTCTACCCACACTTCGGATTCAAATCTCAGCTCCCCTACTTTCTAGCTGTCATTTTGGACAAGTATGTTAACCTCCTCAGGTCCAAGTTGCCTTATCAGTGAAGTAAGGCTAATAATTGTTATCTATATACAGATAGCTATATAAAGAGTGGCTGTAAAGATTAAACTCGATAAAGCAGGTAAAACCTTTAACCGATGCCTACCTTGCAACAAGCATTCAATCATATCACCTTTGTTGTCATGAGTACTGTTTTGTCGTTAATGTCGATAGCCTTATCTTATAATGAGTGGTCACATATGAAACACTTTTATGTAATCATTGATTATATTGCTTTTCTCCCTTAACTATGGGACTGTGTCTTTCTCGACCAGTGTCAAGTGTAGAGCCTGGCATAGTGTCGACATCTGCTAAGTGTCCTTTGTTCTTTGTATTTTGAGTAAATGAACAAATTTAACCACATAGAAGTTTCGGATTAAAGAAACAAACAGTAAAAAGTCAGTCTGTACCAGTGGTGTATTTCAATTTTTTAGCTTTAAACTTGATAATCCAGTATCCTTTCTCATACATACAATGGCAAACAAAAATTCAGTGAAAGGGAAGTCAAAGTATTGACCCTTAATCATTAACTTCAAAAGTCATCTTCAAACCTAGGGTCAGTCAGAGGACAATGACCAGACAACAAACGGGGAGGGACGATGCAAGAGTCTGGGTCGAAGATGGGGGCTGCTGATCAGTGGATTGGCACAGGACGTTTCATAAACTCGGGATGGACAGGACTTGGCAATGCAGGAGGAGGGATAGGAAGGGATCTCACGAGCAGTATCCTGCAACAAGGACGTGAATTCCTCTCAATTCCTCCTTTCAGTTCCAATGGTCTGCCTTGATCAAGACAACAAATATTTAAAAATCCATCTTTGTAAAGCTAATACCTTTGTCACTGTATGAACAAATACCTGAATCATCCCTTTTTTGGACATGGAGCCATCAAGTGGAATGATACTTCCACTACCTAGGGTTCTCCTGGGACTCAGCTTTAGAATGACAGCACATATTTTACTTCCCATGCATTTCCATTTATTTCATGCAGAAGTCATTCTAACATTGTTCAAAATACAGATAGCATGGGATTTTATATGACAGAGGCACCCTGGAAGTCACCCAAGAGTTTTTATTCATAGATGGTAGACAAAATCTTATTTAGCATGCATGCCCAAAAGGGAACAAAAGATATGCATTATGATTCATCTGGATAAATACTGAATATTAGAAATCACAGAGGAGGGACGCCTGGGTGGCTCAGTTGGTTAAGCGGCTGCCTTCGGCTCGGGTCATGATCCCAGCGTCCTGGGATCGAGTCCCACATCGGGCTCCTTGCTCAGCGGGGAGCCTGCTTCTCCCTCTGCCTCTGCCTGCCACTCTGTCTGCCTGTGCTCATGCTCTCTCTCTAACAAATAAATAAAATCTTAAAAAAAAAAAAAAAAAAAGAAATCACAGAGGAAAGGTCTGATTTTCTTTTCTCTTTTTGGATTGACAGAAAAAAGAAAACTGAATCAGGATCCCTGATAGGATGATTCCCAGGTTTGGATGCTGCACTTAGCCTGATAGCACATTCTTTAAAAAAAAAAAAAAAAAATCCTGTATATTCTAGGCTGCCTATGTCATTTGGTGCAAAGAAATACTCATGCCTAGTTGCCTAACCAAAGAACAAGGAGTGCCCTGGGCACTAGAGGAGGCCTGAAGTTACACACAGGCAGGGTTCAGGTGGAAGCTTGCTATCCCCATTGACGAGCACAGGCTGTTGGTGGAAGTGTGCGCGGTGGTCCCAGTCAGTGGTAGCCCATCAGAAGACGCTCTATGTTCCATGCTGTAGACACACTCACACCTGCGTTTACCCAACCTGAAGCTTTGAGAAGCTGAGAAGGGGTGGGCCGGCACTAACATGACCACGCTGCCCACAGTGTTCACTTTGCTGCTGTCTTTTCCATCCTGATGGGTCTCTTTGCTAACAAGGGTCAGAAAGCTCTCATGGCACATAATGAGAATGCCTGTGTGTTGCTTAAAGCAATTTGCCTGGGACACGAGCCATCATCCAGAAAGGGGTGGCTTGGAAGACTGATGATAAGACTTTACAAAGTTCCTCAGCCTCCAGTGAGGGATTAAACCTCACTCTAAGGGCGCCTGGGTGGCTCAGTTGTTAAGCGTCTGCCCTTGGCTCAGGTCATGATCCCAGGTCCTGGGATCAAGCCTCACATCAGGCTCCCCGCTCAGCAGAGAGCCTGCTTCTCCCTCTCCCACTACCCCTGCTTGTGCTTCCTCTCTTGCTGTGTCTCTCTCTGTCAAATAAATAAATTCTTAAACAAACAAACAAACAAAAAAACACTAGCTCTAGCCAGCTGGCATCTCAATATGATTATTATTTAGCTAATGGGACATTTGGCACATCAGTTAAGAACAGAACACAAATTTTCATTTTGGCTTTGGTATTGAACATTAAAGCAGTTTTAATAAACTAATGACATGAGTGAGTCTTAAGCCTATACCAGTAGGAAACTACATGGTTTGAAAGCCATTTCACATTTTACTTATAAATGTAGAATAATGGAGGAAGAGGGCAATTTTCAAGGGCATCTTTCCTTTTCTAGCTTGACCAAGAGGAGGCCAGGGGTGAGCAGAGAAGAATGTGGTCAATTCTCAGAAAGGTGGAAGGGTTCAAGGATGAAGTGACTTTGGGTTAAAGCTCTGCTTTTACTGAATTTATGTCCGAACCACTTCTGTATGATGGGCCTGCTTCTTCCTTCTTCCCTGGCG